TTTGCAACAAGACACTAAAGTAATGCTGCAAAAGATGTGGCAAACTCTTCTACCCCCCCCCTCTTATTAGGGAAACTACTGAGATGGATGACAGAGCAGTGTGTGTGTGTGTGTGAGCGTACAGTCCTTTCGGAAAGTATTCAGACCCCTTGACTTTTTCCACATTTTGTTACGTTACAGCAAAGGGTGGCTACTTTGAAGAATCTCAAATATAAAATCTATTTTGATTTGTTTAACACTTGTTTGGTTACTACATGATTCCATGTTTTATTTCATAGTTTTGATGTCTTCACTATTATTCTACAATGTAGAAACTAGTAAAAGTAAAGAAAAAACGGGAAATGAGTAGGTGTGTCCAAACTTTTGACTGGTACCGTATATACAATGCCTTCGGAAAGTATTCAGACCCCTTGACTTTTTCCCACATTTTGTTAGGTTACAGCCTTATTTAAAAATTAATTACATTGTTTTTTTTACCCTCATCAATCTACACACAATATCCCATAATGACAAAGCGAAAACAGTTTTTAGAAAATGTGGCAAATATATAAAAAATACAAAACAGAAACACCTTATTTACATAAGTATTCAGACCCTTTGCTATGAGACTAGAATTTGAGCTCAGGTGCATCCTGTTTCCACTGATCATCCTTGAGATGTTCTACAACTTGATTGGAGTCCACCTGTGGTAAATTCAATTGATTGGACATGATTTGGAAAGGCACACACGTCTATATAAGGTCCCACAGTTGACAGTGCATGTCAGAGCAAAAACCAGGCCATGAGGTCGAAGGAATTGCCCGTAGAACTCCGAGACAGGATTGTGTCGAAGCACATATATGGGGAATGGTACCAAAACCAATTTCTGCAGCATTGAAGGTCCCCAAGAAAACAGTGGCCTCCATCATTCTTAAATGGAAGAAGTTTGGAACCACCAAGACTCTTCCTAGAGCTGGCCGCCTGGCCAAACTGAGCAATCGGGGGAGAAGGGCATTGGTCAGGAAGGTGACCAAGAACCCGATGGTCACTCTGACAGAGCTCCAGAGTTCCTCTGTGGAGATGGGAGAACCTTCTAGAAGGACAACCATCTATGCAGCTCTCCACCAATCAGGCCTTTCTGGTAGAGTGGCCAGACGGAAGCCACTTCTCAGTAAAACGCACATGACAGCCCACTTGGAGTTTGCCAAAAGGCACCGAAAGGACTCTCAGACCATGAGAAACAAGATTCTCTGGCTGATGAAACCAAGATGGAACTCTTTGGCCTGAATGCCAAGCGTCACGTCTGGAGGAAACCTGGCACCATCCCTACATGATGTTGGCAGCATCATGCTGTGGGGATGTTTTTCAGCGGCAGGGACTGGGAGACTAGTCCGGATAGAGGGAAAGATGAACAGAGCAAAGTACAGAGAGAAAACCTACTCCAGAGCGCTCAGGACCTCAGACTGGGGCGAAGGTTCACCTTCCAACAGGACAACGACCCTAAGCACAGCCAAGACAACGCAGGAGTGGCTTCGAGACAAGTCTCTGGATGTCCTTGAGTGGCCCAGCCAGAGCCCGGACTTGAACCCGATCTACCATCTCTGGAGAGACCTGAAAATAGCTGTGCAGCGACGCTCTCCATCCAACCTGACATAGCTTGAGAGGATCTGCAGAGAAGAATGGGAGAAACTCCCCAAATACAGTTGTGCCAAGCTTGTAGCGTCATACCCAAGAAGACTCGAGGCTGTAATCGCTGTCAAAGGTGCTTCAACAAAGTACTGAGTAAAGGGTCTGAATATTTATGTAAATGTGATATTTCAGTTTTTTTTATTTTTATAAATGTGCTAGCATTTCTAAAAACCTGTTTTTGCTTTGTCATATGGGGTATTGTGTGAAGATTGATAATGGTAAAAAACAATTGAATCCATTTTAGAATAAGGCTGTAGCGTAACAAAATGTGGAAAAGGTCAAGGGGTCTGAATACTTTCCGAATGCACTCTACATTTAGGGGGCCTAACAACTGCTGCCATTGCATATAAAGTCTCCATTTAAATCATAAAAACGACGAGGTTTTCGTGCCACCAAAATAATCCCAGTGCTTTAGCTGATGGATTGGATTGAAATCTCTGTAAAGGAGCCGTGCAATCCGATATTGATTGTTGGGTATCGGCGGTTTACAGGAAATAAAAGAGAGCCATTTTAGGATTACTGGAGCTTTAGGCACAACATAATCCCGATGGGAGAGTCAACAATAGAGCACTGGGCTAGCGGGGGATTAAGGCTGAGAGGACTGCTGAGCATCACACAAACATGCCAATCAGAGAGACCCAGAGCCCAACAGAGAATACATTAAACACAGGCTAATGGGTATTTACAGACACTGGAGTGAAACTGTGGGCCCACGTGTTTTGGTCTAATAAACTCAGAGTCAGAATGGGTCACAGTTTCAGACATGTGGTTCAGATTTGACACTGGGTATGTGCCAAATGGCACCATATTCCCTATATATATATATATATATAATATATATATATATATATTATATAGAGCCTGTTCAGAAGTAGTGCACTAACAGTATATTGGGAAGAGGGTGCTATTTGGGACACTGCCGCTGTCACTAATGTGAGACAGGCCTTGAAAAAGTGGGACTGACTAACATTCTTTTACATAATGTTTTCTCTTCCTCTTTTTCTTCCAGATCCGTCTTCAAACTACATCAGACAACTGGAGACCAAGGTCCACATCCTAGAGGATGACAACCAGCAGCTGCTATCACAGGTAAAACACTGCAGCTGTTTTATTACCATGGTGAAAACACACACAGGACCCGGGCCCTTTTAAAAGTTTTAAAATTCGTGGGGGTCCCCCCTTTTTTTCTTTGGGGGGGCCCCTCCCCCCCCGGGTTCTTTATAAAGAGAGCCCCCCCCTTTATCCGGGGACTGATTTTTCCCCTAAAAGAGCGCCCTAGAAATTTTGTTGCGTCCCAAAAAAACAAAAGGGACCCCAAGGGAGCCCCCGGATCGGGAAAGAGTGGGAAAAACGGGGGGAAGCCCGGGAGCCCGGAGTTTGGAAGATTGAAGAGACGGGCGGTTTTTTTTGGGGGAAAAGGGCCCCAGTTTTGGGACTGGGGAAAAACGGGAGGCAAAAAATTTTCCGGATAAAAACCCCGGGAAAAAAGAGGGGAGGGAATCCTTTTTTGGGGGCCCCCCCGGCCTGCCCTTTCCCCAAAGGGAGAATTTAAATCGGAAATTTTTTCCCGGGGGCCCCCCCCCCCTTTTGTTTGGTTTTCCCCCAAATTAGAATTGGAGAGACACGAGGAAGAGCCCCCCAAAACCTTTGGGGAATTCCGAAACAACATTTTCCCCCGGGGGGGTTTTTTAAACCCCTTTCCCCTTTGGAGGGGGAAGAGGGGGAGATGTTCCGGAAACCCCAAAAAAAGGTTTGAGGAAAAAGGGGAAGTATGGGGGGGGGTTTTGGGTTTTCCCGGGGGGGAGGAAGGGAGGAGAGGGAGGGAGGAGAGGAGGAGGAGAGAGGAAGGAGGAAGAGGGGGGGGGGGAAAAAAAAATTTTCAAATTTTTTTTTTCCCCCCCCCAGGAAGAACCCACCGGGGGGAAAAGAAGAAAACCAGACACAGGGAAAAGGGGCCAATAAGGGGGGGGGAAAAAAGAGGGGGGGGGGGGGGGAATGACATCCGGCCGCGACACAAAAAGGGAAAACGGGGAAACAACAACAACCCACACCTTTAAACCAACCCCAGATCCGGAACATACAACAGGCTAACACACACTAATGCACACATACACACTAGAGTACATAACCGAGAGAGCAGAAGAGAGTGCAGAGTTAGTAAAGAGTTTTAGCAACATTGTAACAACCAGAGAGAGCATCATTATGGCATCAGCTAGAAGTGTATGAAAATAGTTTCAGACAGATCTAGGCTGCATCCCAAATGCCACCCAATTGGCCCTGGTCAATAATGCACTTAATAGGGAATAGGGTGTCATTTGAGATTCCGATGTTAGAGTCCTGTTGATGTAGACATATCCCCATATACTGTATACAGCTCTGTGATTACATAACCTCATAGGACACACATAATGCTGTCATAATAGGCTTCACTATTGGGATAGTACTGTAATCTCACTGAGCCAATCCCATATGAGCTGTAAGCACACAACACCAATCAGAACAGAGCGAGAGAGAGAGACTGAGAGAGAAGGTCCCTGCAGTGACACAAACGGATTACACAGGGCTTTTGTGCTGCTGCAACGGCCCCAAAGACGACACGCTATCTCTCTGTGTGTTGGGGTGACAACATGTTGATTCCTTATTCTGCACTCCACACAAAGAGAACATAGAACCCTAAAAAATAATACAAAATCCATCCCACAGGGTAGCAGGTAGCACAGACCAGTCAGGGAGTCTAACCATAAGGAGTGTGTGTGTGTATGTGTGTGTGTGTGTGTGTGTGTGTGTGCGTGTGTGTGTGTGTGTGTGTGTGTGTGCGTGCGTGTGTGTGTGTGTGTGCGTGAAAACAACACTGAACAGATACTGATGACTGCCTCAAATTAACCGTTCTATGCCTGGTTTGCTTTCCTTACGTGGCACAGAGGGTAAAATAGACAGTGTGGAATCTAGATCAACCAAACTTTATTTAAAGTGCATTTAAAATCCCAACACATTTCAAATTAAAATAAAAGGAAAGAAGTTAAAGCAAACCAGAAGCAATGAAAGAGATGAGTAAAATAAAAACTAAACACAAAGGATGTCTAAAAATCACTGGTTAAAAGACACTGTTTAGAGTGAGCTCATCATAATGACCTCACACGCACGCACGTAAAAAGAGGCCAATCCCCTCCAAAGCCTGCTATACAGTTGTATCCCCAAGGAATTTATTTTATTATATTTATCAACTATTATCTGTTGATTTACCTTGTCCAAGGAGATAAACACTGATTTGTGACATATTTAATTGCTTCTGGTTTGCTTTTACTTCTTTCATTTTATTGTTTTAATTTGAAATGTGGCAGGAGGTAATGTTCATTGACATTTTCTGGTCCTATCTAATGTCACAGTGTCCGGAGGCAGAGGGTTGCCATTTACTGTATGCCAGGCAGGAGGATTCAAAACACGTGCTTGCAATTTTCAGTGATATATAGGGTATAAATGAACTGAACTGACTGAACTCACAACTGCTGTCTTACAAGGTGTCCTTAAATGGCCCGTTGATCATCCTGAGCATCAATCCTCTCAACTACTGTGCTTGTGCTTTTATCGCTTGTCCAGAGGAGATCGGCAGCACATATTCTCTTCTTTGCCTTCTGTGTGCACTTTTCCTCTAAATGTTTTCTCTCTCTCTCTCTCTCTCTCCTCTCCTCTCTCTCTCATCTCTCCTCTCTCTCTCTTCTCTCTCTCTCTCTCTCTCTTCTCTCTCTCTCCTCTCTTCCTCCTCTCTCTCTTCTCTCTCTCTCTCTCTCTCTGTCTGTCTCTCAGCAGGCTAACAGTGGTGATCTGAACAGTCTGAGGAAGGGTCTGTCTCTCTACCACTCTGAGTCTCAGCTCTCATCTCTCACACAGTACCAGCAGGACGCTCTGCAGAATGTATGTATGGTTTGCTCCTGGTGTGTATGTGTGTGTGTGCAGGGATCGAATATGCGACAAAATATTCTGCTGGGCAACTATAATTTTTTAAATTATTGTAATGATTAGGCTTTGCTTTACCGCAGCCTCCAAGTGCCATAGAGTCCTCTCTCTCCCTCCACGGCTGCTTGCTTCCAGCCAACGCACACCAAGCTCCGCCCCCTGTCACTCAAGCAGGCAACACACAGTTCCTCCACGCTGTTTATTCTCTCAGCATGCTGTCAATTCATGCACTCAAGACATACACTCCATGACCAAAAGTATGTGGACATCTGCTCATCGAACATCTCATTCCAAAATCATGGGCATTAATATGGAATTGGTCCCCCCTTTGCTGCTATAACAGCCTCCATTCTTCTGGGAAGGCTTTCCACTAGATGTTGGAACATTGCTGAAGGGATTTTCTTCCATTCAGCCACAAGAGCATTAATGAGGTTGGGCACTGATGTTGGGTGATTAGGCCTGGCTCGCAGTCGGCGTTCCAATTCATGCCAAAGGTGTTCGATGGGGTTGAAGTCAGGGCTCTGTGCAGGCCAGTCAAGTTCTTCCACACTGATCTCGACAAACCATTTCTGTATGGACCTCGCTTTGTGCATGGGGCATTGTCATGCTGAAACAGGAAAGGGCCTTCCCTAAACTGTTGCCACAAAGTTGGAAGCACAGAATCGTCTAGAATGTCATTGTATGCTGTAGCTTCACTGGAACTAAGGGGCCTAGCCCGAACCATGAATAACAGCCCCAGACCATTATTCATCCTCCACCAAAACTTTACAGTTGGCACTATGCATTGAGGCAGGTAGCGTTCTCCTGGCATCCGCCAAACCCAGATTCGTCAGTCAGACTGCCAGATGGTGAAGCGTGATTCATCACTCCAGAGAACATGTTTCCACTGCTCCAGAGTCCAATGATGACGAGCTTTACACCACTCCAGGCGATGCTTGCCATGGCACATGGTGATATTAGGCTGGTGTGCAGCTGCTCAGCCATGGAAACCCATTTCATGAAGCTCCAGACGAACAGTTATTGTGCTGACATTACTTCTAGAGGCAGTGTGGAACTCGGTAGTGAGTGTTTGGCGCTTCAGCACTCGGTGGTCCTGTTCTGTGAGCTTGTGTGGCCTACCACTTCGCGGCTGAGCCCCTGTTGCTCCTAGATGTTTCACTTCACAATAACAGCACTTACAGTTGACCGGGGCAGCTCTAGCAGGGCCGAAAGTTGACGAACTGACTTGTTGGAAAGGTGGCATCCTATGACGGTGCCTCGTTGAAAGTCACTGAGCTCTTCAGCATGGCCATTCTACTGATAATGTTTGTCTATGGAGATTGCATGGCTGTGTTCTCGATTTTATACACCTGTCAGCAATGGGTGTGGCTGAAATAGCCGAATCCACAGATTTCAAGGGGTGTCCACATACTTTTGTATATATAGTGTATCTTCTTCCAAAACAAGAACGATGCTGCTTTCCACATTGCTGCTAAATATGAATCCAGTTTTTTTTTCTATTGTACTAGTCGTTTGGTATTTTGATCTCTGCAAAATGTGAGTTAGTCTAAGGAAGCTGGCATGTGCCAAACATTGTGCTAATGCTAATCGCTAACTAGCTAAAGGCTGGTGGTGTAGATCAGCATGTTGTTTGTGCAACAGCATGTTCTGAATCAGATAGCCTATTCTAAAATCTTTGTCTAAATGTAACATCTGTTCAAACGTGACTAGGGTCCCCTGGGAAACACTGATCAACACTTTGGTTCCTACCCTGTCATAACGCCTACTTGGCTTTTTCATTTTCTGTATTACAAACAACAACAACCATAGAATTAGAATAATCATTCCAACAGTTCACCGAAGTGTTTTTATCTATATTGCAAGTTAAATCGCAATATTTGGTTGAACTATCACAATTTGTTTTTTGCCCATATTGTGCAGCCCTACTAACTTTACCTGTATATGCAAACACTTAGGGGGTTGAGGGGCAGCTCTCGGGGAACTGTGGGGGGATCTTGGAGGGTTGGTGGCCTGATGGTTGGGAGCTTGGGCCGGTGGTTGAGGGGCAGCTCTCGGGGAACTGTGGGGGGATCTTGGAGGGTTGGTGGTTGGGAGCTTGGGCCGGTGGTTCGGGTCCCCGTTTTGACTTGGTGGGAGACCTGCCGACGTGCCCTTGGGCAGGGCGTTGACCCTGGTTGCTTCTGTGGGTCGCTCTGGATGGGAGTCTGTTAGATGACTTAATGTAATGTAAATGCTGAGCGGCTTCTCTGCAGGTAGATTGTATGTTTTAATATTGAATAAAAAAGAAAAGAAAAATAAGGATAAAAAAAACAACACACTTTGTGGCATGGAAAGAAAGGAAAAGTGATATCTTCTTCATTAGATGTGCTTCAAAAGTAATTAGGATTAATATAGGCCCAATGTAGGCTATATCTGAATCAATAAAAAAAACATTCTGGTGCTCTTGAATTTGATGTGGTGCTCCTAACTTCTGTAAATCTGGAGCACCAGTGCTACCAATGAATGTTTTTGTTTGTTGAGATTTTAATTAAACAACAGTTAGCGGTCGTCGTGCTAGCGGTCACCGTAGCAGCGGTCACCGAAGCAGAGGTCGCTGTGGCAGCGGCATAGGATTGTTGTTTTATGTTCTCCCTCCGGCTGATAAGGGTCATGGTCAGGGGTCATGGTCTGTCAGGAAAGATCAAAACCAACAGGGAAAAGACACACACACGGGGGGCACATTCAAAAGGAGAGAGAGAGGCTTAGATATGTGGATTCTTACAGAGTTGAAACCAATCCACAGATTTCTATTTTACCCCTAAATTTGTACTCTCTTCCTCTCATCGTGGCCATAACTCCTTTGAAGTGCTTTAAGAGTTTCCCTCTCTCCAGAAATGAGCTGGTCTGTGGCTGACCTCAGTATAATTTCACAGACCTGCTTTGAACTGGACTTTCAAACACTTCAGTTTCAAACACTCTCCAGTCTTTCTTCCATTCCACTCTAGCTCTCTCTCTTTTTCCTTATTGCCACCTACCTCCCTCTTGTCTCCATCTCCATCTCCCTCTCTCTCTCTCTCTCTCTCTCTCTCTCTCTCTCTCTCTCTCTCTCTCGCTATCTCTCTCTCTCTCTTCTACAGCCCTGAGACTTCACCTGTCTCTCTATTGGTTCCGTGTTTAACCAGAGGACATCACCCCTGCCCCCTCCTCCCCCACCTGGCCCTGCTCTTGACAGCGGAGAGAAACATTTCAGGCTTAAAGCAAGTTTTCTGCAGTTGTAGACATTTTGCCATGGGGCGGAGAAAATGTTGGCAATGTTATTTATGAAATTCTGCTCATTTCACCATGGGGCAGACATACTTTTATTTGTTGCAGTTTTACAGCTAATTTCCTGTAATTCTACCCATTTTGCCATGCGGTGAAGATAATTCCTGATGTACAACCAAATTTAAACCTTGCACCTTGTGTATTCTACTATTCTAACTCTCAACAGGAAGTTGAGACCCCAAATGTTTTAAAAAGAAAACCTAGCAGCCTGGCTACCTAAGCGACCGCTTATGTCGCTTATGCCTGGAGCCGGCCCTGGACGTCCCTTTGAGACCACTAATTAAATTAGCATCCCTCCTTTCAGAAGGGCAAATACTCCCTCTGTTCTTTCCCTCTCTTTCATCCTGCAATTTTCATCCCCCTTTCCAGCTCTCACCTTGGCGTGGAGAGGAGAAGAGGGCAGGGAGAGTACATATGAGACTGGGAAGGTGAGGAGAGATGTGAGGAAGGAAGGAAAAGAGACTAAAGGAGAGAGGTGGGGAGGATGAGAGAGCAGTGGAGAGGGAGAGAGAGTTAGACCCAACCAAATCATGAGAAAACAAAAAGAGAATTACTTGACACATTGGAAAGAATTAACAAAAAAACAGAGCAAACTAGAATGCTATTTGGCCCTAAACAGAGAGTACACAGTGGCAGAATACCTGACCACTGTGACTGACCCAAACTTAAGGAAAGCTTTGACTATGTACAGACTCAGTGAGCATGGCCTTGCTATTGAGAAAGGCCGCCGTAGGCAGACCTGGATCTCAAGAGAAGACAGGCTATGTGCACACTGTCCACAAAATGAGGTGGAAACTGAGCTGCACTTCCTAACCTCCTGCCAAATGTATTACCATATTAGAGACACATATTTCCCTCAGATTACACAGATCCACAAAGAATTTGAAAACAAACCCAATTTTGATAAACTCCCTTATCTTCTGGGTGAAATACCACAGTGTGCCATCACAGCAGCAAGATTTGTTACCTGTTCCCACAAGAAAAGGGCAACCGGTGAAGAAACAAACACCATTGTAAATACAACCCATATTTATGTTTATTTATTTTCCCATTTGTACTTTAACTATTTGCACGTGGTTGCAACACTGTATATAGCTATAATATGACATTTGAAATGTCTTTATTCTTTTGGATCTTCGGAGTGTAATGTTTACTGTTAATATTTATTTTATTGAGTAGAGAGAGAGAAAGAGAGGCGAGGGAGAGAGAGGAGAGAGGATAAGGAGAAAAAGGAGAGGAAACAGAGGAGAGTCTAGTTTAGCTAATCAGTGTTCTGATTGGTCCTGATAAAAGACCTCTGCAGTCGTCGTGGTAACCACTAACCACTCAGGTACTCTTCATCCACAGGACGGAGAAAACAATTAAGAGTGTGTGGCGTGGGCTACAGCCTGTGTTTGTGTGTGTGTGTGTGTGTTTGTATGTGTGTGTGTGCCTGTGTGTGTTCTGGAGTGAGAGACATACATACTCTAGACTCCTATCCTGATTAGCATGGCTTTGAACTCTCACTTCAAACACACAGGAGGTGATGCTTTGAATAATGCAAAATCACACTCTCTCTCTCTCTCCCTCTCTCTCTTATTTAACCAGGTAAGTTGACGGAGAACACATTTTCATGTACAGCAACGACCTGGAGAATAGTTACAGGGTAGGGGATGAATGAGCCAATTGGAAGCTGGGGATGATTAGGTGGCCATGATGGTATGAAGGCCTGATTGGAAATTTTGCCAGGGCACTGGGGTTAACAGCTCTGCAGGGTGGTATGCTGCTGGCTCTCTCTCTCACGTTATGTCACATTCCCCTCAAAAAATGACATAGCCTGATGTACACTTTATTCAGGGTTCTTCAATTCCGGTCCTGGAGGGCCGAAACACTTCTGTTTTTTATTTCTACCTGGTAGTCCCAGGTCTGAATTAGCCCCTGATTAGAAGGAGAGGATGAAAAACAGAGGTGTTTCGGCCCTCCAGGACCGGAATTGAAGAACCCTGCTTTATATGGTGGGTGGATATTTTTTTGTGTGATCCCCATCAGCTGCTGCCAAGACTCTTCCTGGAGTCCAAACACAGTAAGGCACTTACATCACACAAAAAACGTAAATAAAACAATACTTCATATAACATTATTACACCACTACATATATCTACAATACAATATGTATAATACCATCATACAACAATATTACAATGTACGTGTGTGTAGAGTGCGTGTGCCAGCGTGTGTGTGTGTATGCATGTGTGTGTGCCTGGGTGTGTGTGTCTCTTCACAGTCCGTGTTGTTCCATAAGGTGTAGTTTTATCGTTTTTAAAAAATCAGATTTTACTGCTTGCATGAGATACTTGATGCGGAATAGAGTTCCATGTAGTCATGGCTCTATGTAGTACTGTGCGTTTCCCAGAGTCTGTTCTGGACTTGAGGACTGTGAAGAGACCCCTGGTGGCATGTCTTGTGGGTTATGCATGGGTGTCTGAGCTGTGTGCTAGTTGTTTGAACAGACAGCTCAGTGCTTTTAGCATGTCAATACCTAGTAGTGGTGATGCAGTCAATCTCTCCTCTACGTTAAGCCAGGAGAGATTGACATGCATTCCATTGATGTTAGCTCTCAGTGTACATTTAAGGGCCAGCCATGCTGCTCTGTTCTGGGCCAACTGTAATGTATTTGCCTATGTCCTTCTTTGTGCCACTTGACCATACGACTGGGCAGTAGTCCAGGTGACATAAAACTAGGGCTTGTAGGACTTGTTTTGTTGATGATAGCAATGTAAAGAAAGCAGAGCAGCTCTTTATTACGGACAGACCTCTCCCCATCTTAGCTACCATTGCATCAATATGTTTTGACCATGACATTTTATAATCCAGGGTTACACCAAGCAGTTTTAGTCTCTTCAACTTGTCACTCTCGATCCACGATATAGCAGGGGATGTAAAGCCATAACACGTACGTTTTTCCAGCAGCAGACTATGATCGATAAGGTCAAAAGCTGCACTGAAGTCTAACAAAACAGCTCCCACAAGCTTCTTATTATCAATTTCTGTCAGCCAATCATCAGTCATTTCTGTAAGTGCAATACATTTCCTATACTGTAAGCATGCTGAAAGTCAGTTGTTAATTTGTTTACTGTGAAACATCTTTGTATCTTGTCAAACACCATTCTTTTTCAAAAGTATACTATGGGTTGGTAGCAGGCTGATTGGTGGGCTGTTTGAGCCAGCCAAAGGGTGCTTTGCTATTCTTGGGTAGCAGAATGATTTTTGCTTCCCTCCAGGCCTGAGGACAAACACTTTCCTGTAGGATTAGATGGAAGAGATGGCAAATAGAAGTGGCAATACAGTCCGCTATCATCCTCAGTAATTTTCCATCCAAGTTGTCAGACCCAGGTGCCTTGTCATTGTTGATAGACAACAATAATTATTTCACCTCTTCCAGACTTCCTTTACGGAATTCAAATTACAATGCATGTCTTTCATAATTTGGTCAGTTATGAATGGATGTGTAGGTTCAGAGTTTGTTGTTGGCATGTCATGCTAATTTTGCCAATGAAAGAATAATTAATGTAGTTGGCAATATAAGTGGGTTTTGTGATGAATCAGCCATCTGATTCAATGAAGGATGGAACTGAGTTTGCCTTTTTGCCCATAATATTTTTACTATTATTCTTTATATTATTCTTTATATTTGCTTATTGTTTGACATAACTTGTGTGTTACTTCAAAAAGCCTTGCCAAGGGCTACCTGTGATGGGTAGAGAGCGAGCCCACTGGGCAAAAACTGGTTGAATCAATGTGATGACGTTGAATCAACGTTAAAAAACGTATTTGGATTTGAAAAATGCAATCAACGTAAGGGGATTTTGTTTTTTTTACCCAACTTTAAACCGAAATCCAATGACATGGTGAAATTTTTAATTGATTTCACCAAATCTAAATCAAAAATAGACGTTGAAATGACATCTGTGCTGAGTGGGAGGGTACATATTGTAGAGGGGGTCGCCCCCACCCCCTACACCCCCCTACAGCCGTCACAAGCAAAAATATGCCCAGCGATCGTGATCACACCTTTGTAGCACTGACTGAGGCAAAGTCACGACTTTCTCACATAACAAGAGCAATCAATCAAATGCCAAAGTCAATCAAAATTCTTTCAGACACAGAAGCAGTTTCAATGTCCTTTTAAATCAGTGATTCTCTATCTTATAAAAATGGTTGGTTGTAAATATGTGTCCTTTAGAACCTCTCTTTATGTTTTCTTTTAGACTTTCTTATCATCTTTGCTACGTCCTGAATGACACCCTATTCCCTACATCAGTGTTTCCCAACCCTGGTGGTCCTCGAGTACCCCCAACAGTACACATGTTTATTGTAACCTTGGACAAGCACACCTGAATCAACTTGTCAACTAATCATCAAGCCCTCAATGAGCTGAATGAGGTGTGTTTGTCCAGGGCTACAATGAAAATATGTACTGTTGGGGGTACTCGAGGACCAGGGTTGGGAAACACTGCCCAACATAGTGCACTACCTTTGACCAGAGGCATATGGGCCCTGGTCAAAAGTAGTGCACTATACAGGGAATAGGGTGCCATTTGGGACACACATAAGTGTGGTGTGTCTGTCTCAGTGTTCTCTGAGTATTGATACTGGGTATTGATACCAACTCTGTAATGTTAGACTGGCAGCCCGATCAGGTTCACTTCCTTCCTCTTCTATAATGCCTCTACAGCAGGTGCCTACACCATTGACTATGGGCCTGTTGTTATTGCACTCTCAGCTTTATGTGTGTGTCGCTCACACTCCGGTCACAATCTTCCTCTTCTTCTTGCTCTTCCTCTTGCTGCTCTCTCTCTCTCTCTCTCTCTCTCTCTCTCTCTCCTCTCTCTCTCTCTCTCTCTCTCTCTCTGCTCAGGGGCACCAGTGTTGGAATGCTGGTTGGGATTGTTGAGGATTTAACGCTAGAGTGGTGCTCAAAAGGCTGTGACTGAGCAAAGCTGGGATAGAACCAGAGATAGGGATAACTAAGTGCTTGGACAGTGAGAGCTGGGAATGGGCTGTATAGAGATCGAATAAGATAGAGCCTGGATAGATAGGGCCCCTGCTCCTCTCTCTCAACGACCTCTTTGTGCATCAGCTGTGACCCAGAGATGGAGAGACACAAGAGAGATGAAAGTTTGACCAGGGTCAGGGAAGACCAGGGGAGATGAGAGTTATAATGAGCTGATTAAACCAGGGATTTAACCTCCTTTAGGGGTCTGGGTCAGTGAACTATAGTAGCCCAGAGAGAGAGAGGGGAGGTGGGGGGGATTCATTTAGATTACGCACATCTCTGCTCTGATTAACATGATGGTGTGTTTGCATGTGTGTGTATGAAAGAGAGAGAGAAAAAAAGAGAGGGAAAATAAAGTATGTCTGTGACCACTCTGACCATCTCTCCCTTCCTCTCTCCAGGGCTCTGGTAGGACCCCTAGTGGTGAGCCGTCCTCCCCAGCAGACTACCTCCCTGTGGGCCAGAAGCCCGAGGCTGTGGTCCATGCTATGAAGGTGCTTGAGGTGCATGAGAACCTAGAGAAGAAGATCCCTGAAGACTATGACAAGGACCTCAGTGAAAAGGAGAAGGCCATCGTCAGGGAAATGTGTAACGTAAGGAACACTCTCTCGCTCCTCCCTCACACATTACCTTTCTCGCCCCCCCCCTCTCTCTCTCTCCTTCTCTCTTTCCCTTTCTTCTCCTCTCTTCCTCTCTCCATCTCCTATCCCAAAAAGCTAATAATGAGAGCTTGATGAAGATACGAGGGGCTATCGAGTTGCAGCTCTCTCTCTCTCTCTCTCTCCTTCCTATTTATGTTTGCTTGTCAGAATCACAAGCCTGCCATCGCTTTGACGGAGGGCAGTGTTTCAATTATTGCACAATTACCCTCCCTCCCTCCCTCCATCTCACCTCTCCTCCCCCTCTAACCCCCTGGCTCCCCTCTGCTTTAATTGGAGGATCACATAAAGGAGTCGTAGTATTTATGACGCACTTCTCTGCACAATTAAAAAAACTTCACTGGGAGAAACAATGGAAGCTCCTATTGGGGCCTTTTAAGCCTCCGAGCTCTATACTCCGTGCTATATACAGTGCCTTCGGAAAGTATTCAGACCCCTTTACTTTTTCCACATTTTGTTACGTTACAGCCTTATTCTAAAATGGGTTAAATAAAATAATTTCCTCAGCAATCTACACACAATACCAAATAATGACAAAGCAAAAACAGGTATTCAGACCCTTTGCTATGAGACTCGAAATTGAGCTCAGGTGCATCCTGTTTCCATTGATCATCCTTGAGATGTCAAACGTCACATCTGGAGGAAACCTGGCACCATCCCTACGGTGAAGCATTGTGGTGGAGGGGGATGTTTTTCAGCGGCAGGAACTGGGAGACTAGTCAGGATCGAGGCAAAGACGAACAGAGCAAAGTACAGAGAGTTCCTTGATGAAAACCTGCTCCAGAGCACTCAGGACCTTCCAACAGGACAACGACCCTAAGCACACAGCCAAGACAACGCAGGAGTGGCTTCGGGACAAGTCTCTGAATGTCCTTGAGTGGCCCAGCCAGAGCCCGGACCTGAACCCGATCTACCATCTCTGGAGAAACCTGAAAATAGCTGTGCAGCAACGCTCCCCATCCAACCTGACAGAGGTTGAGAGGATCTGCAGAGAAGAATGGGAGAAACTCCCTAAATAGATATGTGCCAAGCTTGTAGCGTCATACCCAAGAAGACTCGAGGCTGTAATCATTGCCAAAGGTGCTTCAACAAAGTAATGAGAAAGGGTCTGAATACTTATGTAAATGTGATATTTCAGTTTTAAAAAATTTTTTTTGTATACATTTACAAACATTTCTAAAAACCTGTTTTTGCTTTGTTATGGGGTATTGTGTGTAGATGTAATCAATTTCAGAATAAGGCTGTAACCTAACAAAATGTGGGAAATGTCAAGGGGTCTGAATACTTTCCGAAGGCACTGTAAACCTCCCAGGCCTAGGATAGGGCAGGATAGGGCAGGATAGGATAGGATCGGAAGGGTAGGAGGATAGGACTATGGGATAGAAGCTACAGGCCCACCATTCTCTCATCTTAACATCCCCCTTCCGCTCAAAATGGCATCCTATTTCCTTTATAGTGCACTACTTTTGACTAGAGCCGATAGGGTTAGTGTAATATAAAAGGAATAGGGTACCATTTGGGACACAACCATACAGCTTGTGACAGTGGAGTGGGGTGCTCTGGGACCAGTATGATAACACTTTTCTCACAGGGACGACCCCAGGCCCTTCTAGTCTTTCAGCACTAAGCAATGCCTGTTGGTTTTTCCATGCAGAGCTCTGTACATGAAAGAGACACAGAGAACATGGAGGCACAACGCAACCATTTAAAGTATCCCATCAACCATAAAGAGATAAATACACCAACATCCTTGTCACTAATGAGGTATACGTTACATGATCCATCTCGAAGTTGGGAGTTATGTATTTTAGAACTGTTGTGTGCTCAGATTATGTGGAACATACATTTTTGTAGACTGCTATTGGTTGGCTAGATTTATGGATTCCAGTCTCTGTGACCTCCCTTTGTAGACCCCAACAACACACAGGTCATAATAAAATGTTACAGTGTATTCAAACCTTATTAGTATAATTAGTACTAACCGTCCCTTCCACCTGGCATTTCTAGAGACCCTCACTCATCTTAAGGGGCTGGATATACTGTAGATAGTATATCCATTGTATGACAACGTTGTGTAACAGTGTTTTGTGTCCCCCCTCTCTTTCCTGTCCTGTGTTGTGTTCTCAGGTGGTGTGGCGTAAACTGGGTGACGCTGCGGGCTCCAAACCTTCTATCCGCCAGCATCTCTCTGGGAACCAGTTCAAAGGGCCTTTGTAGTCCCTAGGACGACATTAACCAGCACTCAGACGAGACAAACGGACAGACAAATAAATAAACAACAACAACCATGGATTCTCAGCACTGACTGGACAAACAAGGGGCACATCTCAAATGACACTCTCCTATTCTCTCAGCACTGTGACCGTGGCTAGATGATCCAGACAAACCCTAACCTAAACCCAGCCCACTGCCTCTGCACCTGTGATATCCATCTTAGCCTTCCTTAACGTCATGCCCTGGGTAGTGGCTACAGACAATCTCATATTAGGGCAAAACAGACCGTGGTGATGAACGGTTCGAAACAGTAGGTGGCCGTCCTATCGTCTCCACAGCACCACAGAACATCTGCCTTCATTTTCTGTTAATTTCCTGACTATTCTACATGTTGAATCGCCACCGTTAGTTGACAGTTATGGTGTGTTTCTAAAGAAGAGGAAGAAGAGGAGAGGACATGAGGCATGCATTAACAACTAAACTGCCCCTTACAACTTCACAACCAGTAACTACACATGAACTACTATACCTGTGACCTGTTCTACAGTACACTACACCTGACAGTCCCAACCAGTCACTACAGAGCTGAGCTACTATCCCTGTGACCTGTTCTACAGTACTACACCTGACAGTCCCAACCAGTCACTACAGTACTGAGCTACTATACCTGTGACCTGAGCTACACCTGACAGTCCCAACCAGTCACTACAGTACTGAGCTACTATACCTGTGACCTGAGCTACACCTGACAGTCCCAACCAGTCACTACAGTACTGAGCTAGAGTACTACATAATCTCCACCCAACGTCTCTTTTTGTGTTTGTGAATGTTCACCTACCAAGTGTAGGTCCCCTGTAGCTCAGTTGGTAGAGCATGGCGCTTGCAACGCCAGGGTTGTGGGTTCATTTCCCACGGGGGGCCAGTATGAAAATGTATACACACACTAACTGTAAGTTGCTCTGGATAAGAGCGTCTGCTAAATGACAAAAAAGTGTTCAAGACTGACAACCGCTCTAGGTCGGACTATTCTACTACAGGCCCTGTTCTTTGCTTCCATGACTTCTCCACTGCTGACAACCTACTTTTAATAAATCCTGGAAAAGTTCTGATGTAATATCCTTCAGTGTATAGTCACAAGCCATTGGTTTATATGACGTGAAACCTAGTTCCTGTAGGCTACTGTTTAATAATGTAGTCCCCTTTTGCCTGACGAGAAGTATGTGTTCAAGTGTAAACAGAAATGATTTCAAAGTGTTCAACTAAATTCTAGCACCAAGTAAGTTATGCATAACAAGACATAGCACTGTTAAAAAAAAAATGATGACAATGTTTGTTTGCACCCTATTCCCTATACCAACACTATATAGGCATTAGGGTGGCATTTTGGACGCAGCCATTGTAACTAAGTACAGAAAGTGGTACACTGAGTTCAGTTTCATACCCTGTGTTTAAAAAGTTTACGCCCAAGGCAGAAATCTTATAGCCTGGGTGCCAGTCTGTTTATGCTCTCCTGCCAACTCCTTATAGTATTGTCATGCCACATGTTGTACATTTTAGTCATTTTAGTCTACTTACAGTAGTTAGCTCATACATTTTCATACTGGTCCCCCGTGGGAATTGATCCCACAACCCTGGCTTTGCAAGCACCATGCTCTACCAATTGAGCCACACGGTACTTGATAATGACAACAATGGAGTTGGCAAAAGCACAAACAGTTCTCGGACCAGGCTAGAAAGCTTAGCCTGTCAGACTATTAACTGAAACCTTAAGCCGAGGAAGGGTTTTGGTTCATGCATAAAATAGTGTCGCTTCTGATGATTTATAATGGATTAGGAAGTCAGGATCTTGCTAGATGGAAGTGGGACTTTGAATTCACAATCTGAATTTCTAATGTATGACAATCTTTGAAACGGTTTGAAAACAACTGTTATTTTGACCAGTCCTAAGTATTCCTCTATGAGCTCTTATAGGAAGCATACCTTATGAAGTCTCATTGGAGACTATGTATACTATACGAGGTCTCTTAGCTGGGTCCGATGTATACTTTATAAGGTGTCTTAGCTGGCTCCTGTACATTATGATGTGTGTTAGGCCCTGTGTATGCTGTATGAAGTCTCAGAGATGATCACTGTGCACTCAGTCAGTCTAGCGAGTCCTTGGCACACTGTGTGAAGTCTCATACAATCCCTATGTATGCTCTATGAAGTCTCATACAATCCCTATGTATGCTCTATGAAGTCTCATACAATCCCTATGTATGCTCTATGAAGTCTCATACATTCCCTATGTATGCTCTATGAAGTCTCATACAATCCCTATGTATGCTCTATGAAGTCTCGGAGATGATCACTCTGATACTGATACGCGCCGATTATGTGGACATCGATTAAGGCAGCCCCCTGCACCTCTCTGATTCAGAGGGGTTGGGTTAAACACGGAAGAGACATTTCGGTTGAATGAACTTAGTTGTGCAACTGACTAGGTATCCCCTTTCCCTTTCCCCTTTCCCACACTACGTAGCTAAATGAAGCTTCAGAGCTACGTTCTATACTCTATGGCAGCTCCTAGCTGATTTCTGTGTATTTCAGTCATCTCAGTATTGTATGGTGAGTGCTAATACATAAACTACATAACATTGCCATGAGACTGGCATAACAACATAACAGACAGATGTCATTAGGAGTAATAAAATGCACTAAATGAGCAAAGGTATATGGACACCTGCCCGTCGAACATCTCATTCCAAAATCATGGGCATTAATATGGATTTGATCCCCCCTTTGCTGCTATAACAGCCTCCACTCTTCTGGGAAGGCTTTCCACTAGATGTTGGAACATTGCTGCGGGGACTTGCTTCCATTCAGCCACAAGAGCATTAGTGAGGTTGGGCACTGATGTTGGGCGATTAGGCCTGGCTCACAGTCGGCGTTCCAATTCATCCCAAAGATGTTCGATGGGGTTGAGGGCAGGGTTCTGTGCAGGCCAGTCAAGTTCTTCCACATCGATCTCGACAAACCATTTCTGTATGGACCTTGCTTTGTGCACGAGGGCATTGTCATGCTGAAACAGGAAAGGGCCTTCCCCAAGCTGTTGCAACAAAGTTGGAAGCACAGAATCAGATTCGTCCGTCGGACTGCCAGATGGTGAAGTGTGATTCATCACTCCAGAGAACGTGTTTCCACTGCTCCAGAGTCCAATGGCGGCGAGCTTTAAACCATTCCAGCCGATGCTTGGCGTTGCGCCTGGTGATCTTAGGGCTGCTCGGCCATGGAAACCCATTTCATGAAGCTCCTTACTAACAGTTCTTGTGCTGACGTTGCATCCAGAGGCAGTTTGGAACTCGGTAGTGAGTGTTGCAAACGAGGACAGACGATTGTTACGCGCTACACACTTCAGCACTCGCCGTCCCATTCTGTGAGCTTGTGTGGCCTACCACTTCGCGGCTGAGACGTTGTTATTCCTAGACGTTTCCTCTTCACAATAACAGCACTTAGGGCAGCTCTAGCAGGGCAGAAATTTGACCATTCTACTGCCAATGTTTGTCTATGGAGATTGCATGGCTGGATGCTCGATTTTATACACCTGTCAGCAACGGGTGTGGCTGAAATAGCCGAATCCACTAATTTGAAGGGGTGTCCACATACTTTTGTATATGTAGTGTATATGACTATGTATATGATATCTTACTTATAGGGAGTTCAGGAGTTGTATGTACAACAAATGAAGTCTGATAGCTGTGCTGAGTTCTATGTACATGCATATGTAAGGCCAGTGAATACTGTATATGAGTACTCATAAGAGTCTTATATACTGTATGAGTTCTCTTGGGTAGGTTGAGGTCTGAATAGGCAGTTATAAACTGTTAAAAGACACTTGCTGCATTCTCTCAGATTTGTGTTCTGTCAGATTGGTAAATGAATCTGAATTGAGTTTGACACATTGTCAGTCTATATAGGGGTATAATAAATGTATACCCCTTTTTTTGTGTTATACTGAAGGGTGTGTATAAATGTACGTTTACACATCCCCATGAATTCTGGGTAAAAAACATTCTAATTGGAGAGAATATACTGTATTGATAGCAGAAGAGTGGCTGGCTTTGCCCCAAATTTCACCCTATTCCCTATATAGTGCACTACATTTAACCAGAGCCCTATTTACCCTGGTCAAAAGTAGTGCACTAAAGGGAATAGGTTACCATTTGGGATGCATCCGCTATGTTTCAGTGTTGTTGAGGAGTCTGGATGTAGCAGGTGACTTTGAACAGTGACGGACTGACTGTGTGTCTGACCGGACTTGTAGCGTACAGTATAAGAGCTGTGTGTACAAAATGAGCAGGAATCAACAAGGAAAAGGTTCATATATAATATATGAGGCATATTCCTGATATATGAGGATAATTCTGTTTGGATCAAGGACTGTGATAAGTATATACTGTTGTCTTTAATAGTCAGACATTGATGACTAAGGAGTTTCATAACGGAAAAACTGTATGAATAAGTGTCCATACACACTCAAAGGCTTCACAAATTAAACTTTTGCTAAAGTGACCTTGTTCTTAAACTGATAGTCTACATGCAACGATTGACTTTTATATTTGTTAATTTGAAAGCACAAAGTTCTGATTAAAAGTTGGACTATTTTCCTATTGTTACGTTCAAACACACTGCTTCTTTATCTCTATGTGGAACCTGTGATAATTCTGTTATTTTTTCAGCCTCTTTTTCTGTGATACATAGTTTAAGATGTATGCTAGGATATATGCAGTGCTATGTACATACATTTCAATACCTACTCCTGTAGCATACATGGAACTAGCATGCCTTTATATTTTTTTCACAATCTGTATGTAGCTGAAAATTGACTGATATTTTAGCAAATGTAAAATGTGAAAAATGAAGTAAGCTGCTTTTAGATTTTGAAATAAAATTGAAGTATACTTTCTTTCTGACCCCTGGTGTTTGTCAGTTGTGAATGTTGATGAAAGTGTAACTTAGTGATATACCTGCATATATATATATATATATATATATATATATATATATATATATATATATATATATATATATACAGTTGAAGTCGGAAGTTTAAATACACTTAGGTTGGAGTCATTAAAACTTGTTTTTCAACCACTCCACAAATTTATTTTTTAAACACTATTACTGAAAATAGGCCTTTTACAATATTAAATTATGACAGGAGCGTTTGGTTCTTATTAAGGAGAGAGTCCAGACAGGCTACTTTAGGAAACTTTCTAAATGGAAATATAGGCCTATAGAGAGAATCAGCGAACTCACACACACACCCCCGCAAAAGGACCCGTCAATCAAAGCCACCAGCGTATGTCAGACACAAGCAAATACAGTTGAAGTCTGAAGTTTACATACACTTAGGCTGGAGTCATTAAAACTCGTTTTTCAACCACTCCACACATTTCTTGTTAACAAACTATAGTTTTGGCAAGTCTACTTTGTGCATGACACAAGTAATTTTTCCAACAATTGTTTACAGACAGATTATTTCACTTATAATTCACTGTATCACAATTCCAGTGGGTCAGAACTTTACATACACTAAATTGACTGTGCCTTTAAACAGCTTGGAAAATTCCAGAAAATGATGTCATGGCTCTAGAAGCTTCTGATAGGCTAATTGACATCATTTGAGTCAATTGGAGGTGTACCTGTGGATGTATTTCAAGGCCTACCTTCAAACTCAGTGCCTCTTTGCTTGAGAAGAAATCAGCCAAGACCTCAGAAAACAATTGTATGCAAGTATAAACACCATGGGACCATGCAGCCTTCATACCGCTCAGGAAGGAGACGCATTCTGTCTCCTAGAGATGAACGTACTTTGGTGCGAAAAGTGCAAATCAATCCCAGAACAACAGCAAAGGACCTTGTGAAGATGCTGGAGGAAACAGATACAAAAGTATCTATATCCACAGTAAAACGAGTCCTATATCGACATAACCTGAAAGGCCGCTCAGCAAGGAAGAAGCCACTGCTCCAAAACCGCCATAAAAAAGCCAGACTATGGTTTGCAACTGCACATGGGGACAAAGATCATACTTTTTGGAGAAATGTTCTCTGGTCTGATGAAACAAAAATAGAACTGTTTGGCCATAATGACCATCGTTATGTTTAGAGGAAAAAGGGGGTGCTTGCAAGCCGAAGAACACCATCCCAACCGTGAAGCACGGGGTGGCAGCATCATGCTGTGGGGGTGATTTGCTGCAGGAGGGACTGGTGCACTTCACAAAATAGATGGCATCATGAGGAAGGAAAATTATGTGGATATATTGAAGTAACATCTCAAGACATCAGTCAGGAAGTTAAAGCTTGGTCGCAAATGGGTCTTCCAAATGGACAATGACCCCAAGCGTACTTCCAAAGTTGTGGCAAAATGGCTTAAGGACAACAAAGTCAAGGTATTGGAGTGGCCATCACAAAGCCCTTACCTCAATCCTATAGAAAATGTGTGGGCAGAACTGAAAAAGCATGTGTGAGCAAGGAGGCCTACAAACCTGACTCAGTTACACCAGCTCTGTCAGGAGTAATGGGCCAAAATTCACCTAGCTTATTGTGTTAAGCTTGTGGAAGGCTACCTGACACGTTTGACCCAAGTTAAACAATTTAAAGGCAATGCTACCAAATACTAATTGAGTGTATGTAAACTTCTGACCCACTGGGAATGTGATGAAAGAAATAAATCATTCTCTCTACTATTATCTGACATTTCACGTTCTTAAAATAAAGTGGTGATCCTAACTGACCTAGGACAGGGAATTTTTACTAGGATTAAATGTCAGGAATTGTGAAAAACTGAGTTTAGATGTATTTGGCTAAGGTGTATGTAAACTTCCGACTTCAACTGTATGTGTATATATATATATATATACAGTCGTGGTCAAACGTTTTGAGAATGACACAAGTATTGGTCTTCACAAAGTTTGCTGCTTCAGTGTTTTTAGATATTTTTGTCAGATGTTACTATGGTATACTGAAGTATAATTACAAGCATTCCATAAGTGTCAAAGGCTTTTATTGACAATTACATTAAGTTTATGCAAAGAGTCGATATTTGCAGTGTTGACCCTTCTTTTTCAAGACCTATGCAATCCGCCCTGGCATGCTGTCAATTAACTTCTGGGCCACATCCTGACTGATGGCAGCCCATTCTTGCATAATCAATGTTTGGAGTTTGTCAGAATTAGTGGGTTTTTGTTTGTCCACCCGCCTCTTGAGGATTGACCACAAGTTCTCAATGGGATTAAGGTCTGGGGAGTTTCCTGGCCATGGACCCAAAATATAGATGTTTTGTTCCCCGAGCCACTTAGTTATCACTTTTGCCTAATGGCAAGGTGCTCCGTCATGCTGGAACAGGCATTGTTTGTCACCAAACTGTTCTTGGATGGTTGGGAGAAGTTGCTCTCGGAGGATGTGTTGGTACCATTCTCTATTCATGGCTGTGTTCTTAGGCAAAATTGTGAGTGAGCCCACTCCCTTGGCTGAGAAGCAAACCCCACACATGAATGGTCTCAGGATGCTTTACTGTTGGCATGACACAGGACTGATGGTAGCGCTCACCTTGTTTTCTCCGGTCAAGCTTTTTTCCGGATGCCCCAAACAATCAGAAAGGGGATTCATCAGAGAAAATGACTTTACCCCAGTCCTCAGCAGTCCAATCCCTGTACCTTTTGCAGAATATCAGTCTGTCCCTGATGTTTTTCCTGGAGAGAAGTGGCTTCCTCGCTGCCCTTCTTGACACCAGACCATCCTCCAAAAGTCTTTGCCTCACTGTGTGTGCAGATGCACTCACACCTGCCTGCTGCCATTCCTGAGCAAGTTCTGCACTGGTGGTGCCCCGATCCCGCAGCTGAATCAACTTTAGGAGACGGTCCTGGCGTTTGCTGGACTTTCTTGGGCACCCTGAAGCCTTCTTCACAACAATTGAACCTCTCTCCTTGAAGTTCTTGATGATCCGATAAATGGTTGATTTAGGTGCAATCTTACTAGCAGCAATATCCTTGCCTGTGAAGCCCTTTTTGTGCAAAGCAATGATGACGGCACATGTTTCCTTGCAGGTAACCATGGTTAACAGAGGTCATGATTAAACAATGATTTCAAGCACCACCCTCCTTTTAAAGCTTCCAGTCTGTTATTCTAACTCAATCAGCATGACAGAGTGATCTCCAGCCTTGTCCTCATCAACACTCTCACCTATGTTAACGAGAGAATCACTGACATGATGTCAGCTGGTCCTTTTGTGGCAGGGCTGAAATGCAGTAGAAATGTTTTTTGGGGATTAAGTCAATTTTCATGGCAAAGAGGGACTTTGCAATTAATTGCAATTCATCTGATCACTCTTCATAACATTCTGGAGTATATGCAAATTGCCATCATAAAAACAGAGGCAGCAGACTTTGTGAAAATTAATATTTGTGTCATTCTCAAAACTTTTGACCACGACTGTACACACACACATATATATTTACACACACACACATAAAAATAAGAGATGGCTAACAAACAACCTTGGTCAAATTTAAAGAAGAGAGGAAGGATGCCTTTACTAAAGTGTTCATTCAGGGCCTCAATTTCAATGGCTTGACAAGGCTTCCCCCTACTGGCTAATCCATCTAACGACAAGAAGCATGGGTGAAAGACTATGGGAATCATGGACACTACAGGGTTCATATTGGATAATTTATGTATATTTTTATTGTCACATACATTGAAAAAATTAATGAAAACAACTTTAGAAAAAACAAATGTTTTATGCCAAGTAACTTTGCTTAGAGTAACTTTTCACATATTACAAACAAACTAAGTAACAATGGAAGATACGGAAGTAAACAAGGTATAATAAAAAGATAACTTCAACAACATAAAAAAAAGTCATTTTAAACCATTAATTCATGGCAGTGCAGCACTCTTAGAAAAAAGGGTTCCAAAAGGATTCTTCGGCTGTCCCCATAGGAGAACCCATTTTGGTTCCAGGTACAACCCTTTTGGGTTCCATGTAGAACCCTCTGTGGAAAGGGTTCTACATGGAACCCAAAAGTGTTCTACCTGGAACCATAAATGGTTATTCTATGGGGACAGCCGAAGAACCCTTTTAGGTTTTAGAGAGCACCTTTTTTTCCCCCTAAGAGTGTGCAAGCATTAAACATACTTTTTTCAACAACAAAACATAAATGTCCAAACACCCATAAAAAGGTGTGTTTATTTAAAGTGTGTGTGTTTGTCCTGTGTGTCTTTATGTTCCAGGCCATGCACAATGCTACAATGGAAGACTATTCATTGACATTTGAATATAATACTGGTTTAGTAGTGTGTTTCAAACAGAACGGAATGCATGTGGAAGATACTGTACAATACATCCAAAGCCATGGAATGGTTAGAGTGGAGCTGCCATTTTCCTTTTTGGTCCCACCATTCTTTCCTACATTTGTACAGCAAGCTAACCTAAAAGTTTTCATATAAAAAATTACAAATAAACATGTTACTAAAAGGCTAATATAAAAACAGCCATTGTACAACAAACACTACATTATGCATTTCACACTAACTAACTTGTGCAATGGAAGTTAATGGTTGGTTCTTCATGAGGTGTGGCTGTGCTGTTTGGCTTGTAGGAGAGGTAGGGTTGCAGAATTCTGGTAATGTTCCCCAAATTCCCAGGTTTTCCAGAAATCCTGGTTGGAGGAATCCAGATTTCCTGGTTATTCCCTTACGATTCCGGGAATTTTCCAACCGGGACTTCTGGAAAACCTGAGAATTGTATTTAATTTTGCAATCCTAAGATGACAGCTTCAGAAAACTACAGGGAGTACATGAGGCCGGTCTCCTCAATTGGCCCCCATCACTAAAGCTGTCTGTCAGTAACACTGTAGGACTAGTGTTGGTTTGCCACATCCAGTCTCACGCCCCTCACCTCAACCACGCCCCCTGACTCATGCCACCGATGGGGGGCATACCAGGGGGCAGCGGAGGGGGTACCTGGCTCTGTCCTCCAGGGGGTGGGGGATAGTTGCTAGGAGGGATGCCCATCACAGGCGGATAATCCCCGTGTCCCGGGGGCATGCGATGAGGGGGCGGGGGAGGGTAGCTGTGGTTGTACCCCGGCGGGGGGTAGGCGGGCGAGGGTGGAGGGAGGTTGGGTGGAGGGTAGGAGGCGGAGAGTGGAGGACCAGGCGGTGGGGCGTTAGGGGGGTAGACATGGCTGTGGTAGGCCAGGGGAGGGCCATAGGATGGAGGGACGGTGCTGTAGGACGGCCCCTCTGTCTTCATCATAGACTGGAGGCTCTGGAAGCCCTCTCCTGACATATAGGAGCTGGAGGTGGGGATGCCCATGATATAGCTGGATGGGGGTGGTGGAGGGGGGCGGTGGGGAAGCGGCGGAGGCTGGTGGAGGGAGGCTGAGTGGGGGGGAGGTGGAGGTCCTTTAGGGGGCTCCGCTGGGCCTCCTGCCCCAGCTGGGTCTGTCTCTCCTGGGAGAAGGGCGGAGGGGTGGGAGGCTGGAGGCTTGCGGTCTGCAGGGAGAAGAGAATTAGAGAACCCTTAGAGAAACAACAACTGAATCAAACCACTTAACCACTATCAAACACACCATCTTCTTACTTCAACACATAAGCCTGGCCTAGACACCTCTCGTTCTCTCAGCCAATCAGAGGAGAAGACAGAACAGACCAGTTAATACCAGCAGCTAACCACTTCTTCCACCCCAGCTCAGCTAGCTCCTTCAGGGGCTGAGGGGACGGACTGGATGGGACCAGGGGCTTCTCAGACCCTGCATCCCAAATGGCCCTATTCCCTATATACTGTAGTGCACTACTTTTGACCAGAGCCCTATGGGCCCTGGTCAAAAGTAGTGCACAATGTAGAAAATGGGGTGCCATTTGGGACGCATACCAAGGGCTTCGCAGGGGCTTCTCAACCACTTAGCAGGAATGCCATGTGTCAATAATCTATTCAGCAACATGAGACGTTACAGTAGGGAGTGGAGTGGACAGATCTGTGGCGCATTTACACCAAATCAAATCTTGCACTGTGCAATAAGTCTTTTCCATACGGGAATAGCAGAAGGAAAAACGATAAGGCTAATGGACATGGGACTGTCTTTATAAAACTTCACGACAGGATTTATTTCCTTTCTTTTATATTTTAATCTACGGATATTCCCTCTGGAAACCAACAGGTGCACAAGTAGTTGTACTGGTGTAGAGGCTTAGTGAATCTGGCTATTAGTGTGGTGTTCTTCTGAGTGGACCAGGGTAGGGGACTCACCCGAGGGGGGTTGTGATGTGGGTAGAGGGGGCATCGGAGGCTCCAGCCTGGGGATCTTAGAACCCACTGGCTCTGGAGAAGAGAGAGAGAGACAGCAATAAGTCATACTCTAACATACGTACTGTTATGAATCCTTTAAAAATTAATATTGGCAGCTATATGCTTCCATAGATTAATCTACTGTCTCAGCCAGAGAAAAGGTTGTGCTCACCAGGTGCCTGGCTTTGTTCTTTAGGAGATGATACCTAAACAACAAACAACAAACAAGTGAAATGGGTGTGAAAAACAAAAACAGCTCAATTTAGTGCCTGTGGTAATGAAAATAACATGGTGCATGCCCTCACAAGAACCTTTAAACTGGGTGTCAGACTCACGTGGGCTCGTTTGAGCTGGCGGGGAGGGCTGGTCTGGGGCGAGACCTTCTTGCTGAGTGGTGGCGGGACGGGGGGGTTGGGGAGCGGGGGCTGGGTGAGGGCCTGCAGCTGCTGAGGGGTGGGGGTGAGGACGGGGGTGGGGACGGGGGTAGGTGGGGTCTTCTCGCTGGGGGTCTGGGGCATCTGCTGCTTGCCCTGGGAGTATAGGTCTAGGATCTGGTGGCAGATGTCTATGGAGCAGAGGAGGAGGTCATTAATGAGGAGTGCATTTCATAAGTATGGATCTAAATGATGGATATATTGTTATGATAATAGAGTACCACAGTATTGTTATCAAAACGTCACGCCATGGTAAGCCTACACGAAACACAGCCCTTATTTTAAGTGTTTCTAAAATTCCCTATGGGAAAAATAAATGGTGTTTGACGTCTAAAAACAGCCTTACACAAATGAAACCAGAGAAGTGCTCCAGAGAGAGACAGAGACAGAGCGAGAGAGAACAGCCAGTCCCACCTTCCAGCAGCTCCACTGGGACATCCTGGACAAACTGCTCCCACCATCGCCGTGAAGACTGCTTGGACGTCCATTCCTGGATGTCAAACTTACACAGCCGGCCAGCCAGGTACATGACCGCTACAGCTATGATCTCTGGCTCCCACTGTAGGGACAGCATAGTGCACAAGCTGGGGGGTAGGAGAGCAGAGACGCGTGTCCATCAATTACAGGGCACATATTAATAAAGCATCTCAGAGTTCTGATTTAGGATCAGTTTAGCCTTTTAAATCATAATCAATAAGAAGGGGGACCTGATCCTAGATCAGCTATGATTGATTTATAATAGACACATGGGTATTGATGTACTTCCATGGTTCTGCCGAGTTACACATCCATGTTCGGGTTGTTTAACTGCTCACCTGTCATTCACAAAGGTCCAGGCCATCTGAACTAGCTTCTGGACTTTGTTCTTATCACCTGAAACAGATCGGAAATACTTCAGATCTGTGAACAGAAAGAGGTGCATGAGTTTAGGGGTAGTTTTCATTCAGACAGGGTAATAACAGACTAGATCAGATTATGATTATATCATTGTAGATCAACTGTAGTGACTGATTCACACCATAGGCCTGATTCACACCATAGGGCCAACCCCCTTCACATTGTCTTTTCCAGCACACTTCCAGCTACTATAGTGAACAGGTAACCAGGCCAGCCCATCATAGATCATAGCATAGATCAGGGTTGCCAAATGTTGGTAACTTTCCCAAAATTCCCAGATTTCCCAGAAATCCCGTTTGGAGGATTCCCTACTTATTCCCTTCCTGGAATCTTCCAACCAGGATTTCTTGAAAACATGAGAATCTTAGGAAAGTTAGCAGAATTTTGCAACCCAAATCAAGCATCTGTAACAGTGTACCTTTGAGCTGCTTGGCGTAGCGGAGCAGGAACTGGTATGGGTGCTCCACCTGCAGGTCAAACTTAATGGTCTGCAGCAGGATCCTCTCTAGCACCATCACCTCCTCCTATACAGGATCAGAGTCATGGAAAATATTGTGACCAGGATGTATTTTGGATACAGACCCTGTCCTTCCCAGGGAGGGAAATATAATTGACTACCTGGTCAGGGGTCACAAAACGTTATACTAGCAACTTACAATGAATAGATTTAATGCAATGTACGAGGTTCCCTCAATATTATAGTACCAACATATATGCATGTATTACCGTCTTGTAATCCAGGCAATTGTCAAAGTTTACACACTAAGTGAGGCTCTCACCTTTGGGTCATCTCCAAACTGGGCGAACTGTATGTCATTCAGCAGGCTGCGAGCGGTCTTGATGATGTCTTTACATTTCTTTGGGGTCTCTTCCACTTTACCAGCCAGGAATAGACAGCAACCCCCAGTCACCTGTAGAGACGTAGCATTTGTTAGCTGGGTATATACAGTAGAAGCAAATAAATATAACACTGCCACAGATGAATAGGGGAAGCCTTTTTCAACCTGTGACAACGATTTCCATTGTAAAAGGCTCATCTAAACCATCTTTAACATAGCTAAGTCTGGTCAAAAGCTAACTTAGTAAACTCAACTCCACTTATCCATATCACAGGGATCTAAACTAGAGTTATTCCAAAGCAAGAGTTGTAGATACAGTGTGAATACTTACATATCTGGGGAACTGCTTGAAGGAATGAAACATGTAGAAGCGATGGAAGTAGATGATCCCTGTAGCCAATGTGTCATAGTGTCTGATCACAGGGTTAAGGAACCTGAGGGGGGTTGTGATGTTGGTAGAGGGGGCATCGGAGGCTCCAGCCTGGGGAGTTACTGTAACAGTGACGTGGATAATGAAATTCTGCATTGATCAATCTGACTATAATCTGCCACTTGTCAAATAACAAACAAACAATGCATTATTCTAACAGAACCATGACGCTGCACCAGTTTACTCTCCTGGCTGCCAACACAACCAAACCATCAAAAGAGACACCAGATCATGCATATTTGCACACAGTCAGTGAAGGAAGGATACAGTCCCAGGCGCGTGCCCACGTCGAAGATGAATCGAGCCCCCTCTCTTCGGTACCGGGCCTCGGTGGCCGGGTCCAGACCCTCGGACTGGGAGGGGGTGTGAGCCAGGTCCTTCTTGTCCCAGTACCAACATGGCTTGATGTGATCCAGACTTGCAGCTGGATTTCCAGGGATCGAATTCTCCCTGTATTCTTTCATTAACTATACTAGCTCAATTGTAGAAGCCTCGCTAGCTAACTAGCCACTGCACACTGTTATCAGCTTCCTAAGACAATAATTAGCGATGAAAGGGATGTAGCACAGCGATGCTATCTCTCATGCATGTGAATAACCTCGCTATAGTTACAGCTAGCTGCATAAATAGTACATTTATTTAATCCATTCAATTAAAATATCTACACTCGTATTGACGTGTACGGCGCCACATCTAATTAATCAAAATATGAAACAATCAAGTGGGGCGGACACGTTGTTCTCTTTAAGATCGTCGATTGTCATCCTTGTCAACAAATCATCTCGCCTGAATCCTAACCATTTATGGTAATTGTAAGTCCCTAAAGTAAACTTCCAATCACAAATCACGAAGGGGTGTGTTTTGTGTTTATGCTGCGAAGCCAAACGTTCCATTCGCGAGTGGCCAACTGACTGTTCTTATGACCAATGGCATTGCGGTAAATCTGATAAATTCAACCAATCCGTATAAAGAACCCGTCAAAAACCTAACATTTTTGGAGCCAGGTGGATTTTTAACCAATAGACAGACAAATGAAGCAGCGCACACTTCCCAACAGCCAATACAAATCAAGAAAGATAACGTTGTTTACGTTGGTATAGAACGTTTGTGCTCCAATCAAATAGTTAGAAAACGGTGTTCCAGGCATAGCTCGCACAAATCAACATCAGGTTAGGTTTCGCTCCCCATACCTTGTGGAAGAGGATTGTGTACAGTTTGACAGGAGAGGAACTACTGCACTCACTTTACGGTAACTTAGTTTTGCAAAACATGTTATTAGCAATTATTTGCATGCAATTACTGCTTGATATTACTAGTCATTCTGCTTGCCATTTACATTTTTACCTGACATTCTTGCATTGCGGTGCGAACGTCGCTTGCGAATTTGCGAGCCAAGCTAGCTAGCGTGTTAGCAAATGTGTGTTATAATTTAGCTGGTTGCTTCCCTTTTAAAGTTGACAATAACGAGTGCGAGAGCCTGCTAGTTTGCTAATCACATTCCACGATGTGTTTATTGGACGAGGCAAATGAATGGACTCGTCTGCTACACTGCAACCACGACTGTTAGCTAACCTAGCCAGATAACTAGTCCAATTAGATTGCTTGTTGGATGGGCGTGATTCAGCTGGACAAACCTAGTAGGGAAGCTACCTAATGTTAGCTAGTTAGCTCAGTGGGACTGTAGGAATCTATTTTACAGTCAGCTGCTACCTGTCGGTCACCTTAGAGCTATCGCAAGAAGAAACCAAGCCGTTTTTATATGCTCAACAATCCTTCTAACAAGATGACAGTTAACTTTAGTAATGCATAGTATTTTTAGTTATTCAAGTTAAAACATGTAGGTATCTAGCTATCTTCAAGAATGCCAGCGTGTGTGTGTGTGACTTGGCGTAAACGTATTCAGAATACTACAACTCCCATTTAGCTAGCTACATATCCAATAATTTGTTTGACTACTCTAGATGGGTAAGTTAGTCACAGTTCACTTCAAAATATAAAAAAATCTGACATTTTCAGACCTCAAAAGTGGTATATTGTGAAGGCCAGGCCAGTTCCCACAATTGGTTTTGTAGATCCAGCTACATGCCTCAATTTCAAATGAATGGGAGACTCACTGTCTACATTGTTGTTTTTATTTGGTGGCCTTGCCTATGTTTTGCATTAATCTCGTAGGGGAGGGTCTGAAAACATCCAATAAACATTGATTTGGGAGTGAACTGTCACTTTAAGACTCATCCCGTTTTGTGAGGCATGGTAGGGTAAGGGTTTGGAACTTTGGTTCACTGATGCCTCATTTGGTCTGGGGTGTAATCTGTTGAAGCAACAGATGCAAAATTGAATGTTTTGCAACTTAACGAAGTTTATATTGGACAAATTCAGGTAGGTTCCATTTGCTTCCATTTAAGAAACGTTTTGCAACTGAATCTGCGTAATGAATACGCCTGTGGTTGTTCCTAATGGGTGCATACATGATTGTGTTGGTGGAGGATTCTTGGCAGCCTTTCAAACAGTGTCAGGGGCCAGGGCTGGTGAACTATGCCAATGGCATGCCAGTGGCCAAAACCACTGAAAGGGGGTCAAAGCCTTTGTCCATCGGAGTGGAAGAAGAGGGTTGGAGTTTAGACTAAAACTGTTTGACTGGGATCTGAGTTGTCTGAAATCCCAGACAGTAACAAAGCCATGTTTTAGCTATATCACAGAAGTGATTCCTTCAGACATTTTCATGTTGTTTTATTTCTATTCCCAGTTTCAAGGATTCCCTGTTTTTACTCTTCCAGTCACTGTTGTCACTTTGACTGTTAAACTCAGATTTGAAAGATTCAACATGTTAAATCTAGGTCAGTCTCAGATTTTGTCCAATTATGTGTGTGAACATGTTTCAGTGTTCTAAAATCTGACTACAACCGACAAAATCAGGACCAGTCTAGTTGAGATGAGTCTGAACCAGCATCTGGGTTTACAGGAGAATTGAATATGGCGACTCTCCTTTCAGCCCAGGAAGCAGCCGTTCAACTTGCCATTCACCAGCTTTTATAATAATAATAATAATAATATGCCATTTAGCAGACGCTTTTATCCAAAGCGACTTAGTCATGCGTGCATACATTTTTGTGTATGGGTGGTCCCGGGGATCGAACCCACTACCTTGGCGTTACAAGCGCCGTGCTCTACCAGCTGAGCTACAGAGGACCTTTTCAAGCTTAATGTCAAAATATGTTAGTTACATACCAAACAATGGACTTTTGCTGAGCAACTATTGTCATTAGTGCTGTTATGGCCGGGATGTAGTTCTAAATAAAAAGTTACATGCAACCGAAAAGATGCCTTGTCTGGAATTAATCTAAATATTGTATTTGACCAAGTGCACATGTGCCAAATACAACTCTTCTGCACCTCCAATAAAATCACCCATTACTGGTTGGCTGATCCAGCAGCAGAAAAGGTCATTGATTTTATAACCTACAACAGTGAATGGTGGTCATATCAATCTGTTTCACCGGCGCTACATGGAATGCAATAATATTTCATGTAAGTAGATTAAGTAGACAATGTAGGTATGTTTTTACAGTGACTGTATATTTCTAGATGGGCTTTATTTAGTGTATTTTAATTCCATTACTAATATTGCAGGAGGTGCAGAAGAGGTGGAGTTGGCGCATGTACACTTGGTCAAAAACAATACTTAGATTAATTCCAGACAAGGCAATTCTTTCAGTTGCATGCAACTTTTTATTTAGACCTTTTTTGGAAGTACATTCCGGCCATAACAACAGTAATGACGATAGTTGCTCAGCGAAACGCCATTCTTTGGTAAGTACCGTAACGTATTTTGACATTATTAAGCTGGGAAATGGCAAGTTGAATGGCTGCTTCCTGGGCTTTAAAGGAGAATCGCAATATTCAAAGTCTCCTTTTAAGCCCAGATTCTGGTTCAGGATGAGTCTACATTTTCCCACATGGTGTGTGTGAACTTAGCTTTAGGAACAGGAAGACGGCAGGTCCGCTGGACGTCACACTGTGCTGTGACACAGTTTTCCTCCCTGTCTGGCTGGCCCTGCACCCTGCTTGCAGCTCCTCTTGGCTAGGCCATAGTGTCTGTCTCAAATTGCACCCTATTCCCTAGTGCCCATGGTGCTCTGGTCAAAAGTAGTTCACTATAGGGTACCAGTAGGGATGCAGCCATAAAGTGACTGGCAGCACTCAGCACTGCTCTCTTCCTGTAGCTGAAGGCCTCAACAAGCAGCCGTCCCACTCTCTCGCTCTTGTTTTTACTCCCTTCCCAATATTAGCTGGAATTAGCCTAAAGGGTGTGGCTGCATCAACCCTACTTCAACTGGCACATGTAGGCTATACGGTGGGGCTGCTGTCTGTGAAAGGCAGGCACACTCAGTGCCCATTTATTTCCCTTCAGAGTGGATGTGTTGTTGGAAAATGGTCAGAGTTTCGATCTAACTGCCAAAAATGACTTTGGACTCATGCACTGGTGGTTGAGTTGCTGATTTTTTTTGGCTTTTGCCAGTAGCTGCAAGAATAGAGAGGGAGTGGGATAGAGTATAAAAGAAAGAGAAAATGACAAGCGAGAGAGAGGGGTGGGGGTGAGTGTGTAGAGAAAGCTGGACGTGAGTGAGAGGGCGAGAGGGCGCAAGGCAGCTGCAGAGTGGGTAAACATGACTCCTAAAATGGCTGGTGCAAATAGTCCGGATATATAATACTAACTGCATGTTGACACTACACTACCCTGACTAGCTATTTAAAGCCATCATTATGCCGGTGTGAAGCACATAGCAGCCTAACACTGTGTTGTTATAGAAAATAGCTACCTTGGTGATGTTTAATTTGACCCTGGGCTAAAGTAGTGCAATGTTTTACTGCTACGGTATTGTCAGTAGACTAGAGTAGGACATCACATTGAACCTCAGGCATTGTACTGTAGTTCCTCTCTCTGTGTAAATGCCATTGTTTCTGCTGACTCCTTGAGGTTGTTGTGTTCATCTGGCAGAGCCACAGGTTCCCATGGCAATGCCTTTGCCTCCATTCTTCTATATAAGATACTGTACCAGTCTCTCTCACTACTTGACTGAAAAGTGAGTAGAGCATTCCAGGATGTTCACACTCAGATATTGGTTAGGCCTCTAGAATCTAGATTACCCTAATTACAGGCAGGGACAGTATTGCATAGCCTAGTCCACACTTCCATGAGGACAAGGTTATCAGCCAAGAACTACCAGTGCCCAAATTTGAGCACAGTGCCCTCATCAGCATATGACAATCCTTACTCCGAATGACACAGCAGACTAGTATGATTATTCATAGTTTTCTCAGGAAAGGCTTGTGTTGACCTGCAGAAAGACAATCATTAGGCCAACAGGTTATTAGGTTATTATTGTAATTGTCTGTTGTGATGAAACACTGTCCTCTCAGTTGAACTGTTAAAGCACAGTTGAAAAAATATTGGGTTGTAGTG